AAAAAATTCAATTGTAAAACTGATGCATCCTGAAGAATAAAGTTCAGTTTCTATTAAATTCATCTATTTACATTCTCTTGTGCTTGTAAGTTGCACCTTGACCTCCCCATCTTAAGAACAAAGCAGAACAAAAATAAATCCTCAACAAAGAAAATAAATATTGAAAACTTTTTTTCTTTCAAAATGTTATCCATATTGCTATATCTAGCCCCCAATTATTCATTAATTTGGACTAACAATTTAAAGCTTCAAGAGAGACAATATATTTCTCACCTCCACGGTTCTCTATTCAATACTGCATTTATTACTTATTCAACTCCTAGAACAGTTGGCATGAGTTTGATAGGATAGCTGTACTATTGCAATATCCATCCAATGAAATAATTACATGATTGTCTGATTTAATGCAAATGCGGTTTAAGAATTTTAACTTGATGGATTCCTTCTTTAAGGTTTTAACATTACATTTATTTTATCTCTAAGATTATAAGTTCATCTATAATATTGTTGAAATTTTAGTAAATTTTCACAAACTATATATTGTGCCCCGGGTAAAAAATATTAAATTTGGATTAACCTGTTGTGGAAGGCTTATGTTTCAAATTATAATAATGATCAGGAAAATGGTGCGAGAAATCTTTACAATTTTCCCCTTTCTTTATTGCTTCTAGAAATTATTTTTTCTTCTTTGTCCAGGCAGTCGTTTTTGTAGGAAAAAAAGAAGAAGATAGAATGCAGAAAACTAAATGTCAAACTAAGTACAATTAAACTATCGAACCTACATCTATCTCACAAAAAAAAAAAATGATTGACTCATAGAAAGAACAATGACTGGTAATATATGATCCTGTATTGAAAAGTTGAGGATCTTATTGGAAATATTTTTACTTCTAAGGGCTTGCATGTAACCACAATATCTCAATTATTACTAGCAATAATAATAGTATCTAGAATGTAGATTAATCATGACTTACCAGTCCCTTTCTCTTGTATTTTTTCCTACTATATATAAATTCCCTCTTCGCTTTGTTCAAACACACTTGAACAAAATCTAAGTCCTCCCACCAAACTCAAACCTCAACAAAATATGGCCATTTCTCAGCCAAATTTAATAGAAAACCCTATTAAACTTAGCAAATTCAGGAATATTAATACAGCTCAACAAAGAAATAGGTTATCTTTTTGGGCCTTTATTTTTTCCATTTTCATGTATATTTCCATCTTTTATATCTTCAACCTCTCCCCATCTACTCTTCTTAACACTACCAACTTCTGGTTCTTCATTTCCAACACCCTCATTCTCATTATTGCAGTTGATTTTGGCTCTTTTTCTTCTTCAAGTAATCAAGAATATTCATTTGAAGAGTATATTAAAAAATGCCAACAAGAAAAGAGTATTAATATTAGTACTTCATCATTTAATTATTCTCAGGATACGATCAAATCTATTGAATATAAGGAGATTATGCCACAAGAAGAGGTCGTTATGATAAAAGAAGTAGAAGAACAACAAGAACAAGGCGACGACGAAGAAGAAAACATAAAAGATGTGGTTTTTGTCGAACAAAACAAAAAAGAAAAAGAAATAATCAACATTACTGATAAAGATGAAGTTGATCAAGAAGATAAGAAGAAGAATAAGAAGAGTGGTGAAGCCAAATGCGAACGGAATAACTCAGAAAAAGCAATGATAAAGGTGGCGACCAATAATGGGAATATTGAAAAGAAGAAAAATGGGATTCAAAGGTCAAAATCTGAGAGATATTATTTCGTAAATAAAAGAGATGAAGAAAATGAAGAATTCTCAGAGATGTCAGTAGAGGAGCTGAATAGAAGGGTAGAGGAGTTTATTCTAAGATTTAATAGACAGATTAGACTTCAAGCTGTTGCTACAAACCTCCAAACTTAGGGGAAATCTAGTCGTTTTTGTTTTGTTTTGTTTTGGTTGTCTTGTGTTCCGTTTTCGTTTTCATAATAATAGTGAGTGTAGATTATTTAGACATATTCATGAAAGTATCCGGTGCGCAATTTGACTATTTGTTACTTACCCACAATATATTTGCCGTTGAGGATTTTAAGATGGAAAAGTCTTAAAAAGAGGGTGAATGGGAAATGGAGGGAAAATGAAATTTTTGAGTAAAATTTTAAATTTTCCTTTCTTGAAACATTGTCCCATATTGGAAGAGGAAAAGGATTTTGATGGGTATATATACAATTGCTCTTCTTGTAGCTCTTAAAGAGTTAAGAAGAAGGCAAGCCTCGCGTCGTCGTCGTCGTCGTCGCTCGGTCGGCTTCGGCTTCGGTCAATTGATTGATTAATTTTTTGGACCAAATTTATTTGTTAATAATGAATATTAACGTAATATTATTCGTGTTTGTAACGGATGTTTTCCAATCCGTGGATAGAATCCAAGTATCCTACCAGTTCGGCCAAGTGCATGCTCCATTGTCCATTGGTAGCCTAGTGCTCCTTCCACCATGTCAAGTGCTTCCTCCATAACAGCCTAGTGATTGCTCCACCATGAGTGGCGGCTGGTCATTCTCTTAATAGCTGACTGCGAGCGAAGACACAGAACACAAACACAAAACTGAAAAACAGAATAAGAGTTGTTAGGAGAAGGCACAGGCAGAAACGAATTTGAGAGCTTGGCTATCGTTGATATCCTCTTCAGTAAGAACTCAACATCGGCTATAAATTGCATTCCTTCCTCTCAGAATTTCCATTCAACTTCTGAGTTCTCCTCCTTTGTTGTGCATTATTTTAAACTACAAACAAAGCAACCGTAAGTGTGATTTGCTGCCGAACTTTGTGTTCGCTGAAACACTGGGGTTTGAAGTACCGCTACACCAGTGTGTAATTCGTTCTATCCTGGGAGGAAATAATCCATAACCTTGGGTACTAGGAGGGGATTGAATTCTTTAAGGAAACACTGTGAATTCAGTGGGCTTGAATTAATTATTGTTTCGTTTATATTTACGTTTATACGCTAACTTTCTTTTCTCGAGAATTATTATTTACAAATACAACAAGTAAGAAGATATACCAAAAACCAATAAGCTTAAGGAATTTAATTTCTTTATTTCTGTATTTGTGGTATACTTATTGCTCTGGAGTTTTGTTGGAGAACTTACAGTTCTAAAGACTAAAACCTTTGTAGTTTTGTCTACTCCCGTTTTTGGAGATTAAAGCCTTCGTGGCAGTTTGTTGGAGATTAAAATCTACGTGATTTTCTTTCTCCAAGTTTAAACGTTTATTAAAAGTCATGATTGAAAAGCACGAAGATATTGATGACTTGTGTGCTATGGAGTGGTGGATTGATTTTGGAGCCACTCGCCATGTTTGTACTGTGAGGGAAGCATTTTCTACATATGCTTCTGCTGGACCCGAAGAGACGCTTTCTATGGAAAATGCTGCTACAACAAAAATTGAAGGATATGGGAAGATATTTCTCAAGATGACTTCTGGCAAGGTCATGACTTTGAACAACGTCCTTTATATTCCCGAAATTAGGAAGAACTTAGTCACTACTGGACTTCTTGTAAAGCACGATTTCAAGTGCGTTTTTGTGTATCCGACAAGGTGGTGATAAGTAAGAATGAAATGTTTGTAGGAAAAGGTTACCTTACTTAGGGCCTTTTCAAGCTGAATGTAACAGTTGTCGAAACTAATAATAAAACTTCAGCTTCTTCTTACTTACTTGAGTCAAATGATTTATGGCATGTACGTTTGGGTCATGTCAATTATAAAACCTTGCGGAAAATGATTAACTTGGAAGTACTGCCCAAGTTTGAATGCGAAAAATCAAAATGTCAAATATGTGTGGAATGTAAGTATGTTAAACATCCTTATAAGTCAGTTGAAAGGAATTCAAATCCTTTAGACTTAATTCACACAGATATTTGTGACATGAAGTCAATACCATCTCGCGGTGGAAAGAAGTATTTCATAACTTTTATTGACGATGGTACTCGATATTGCTATGTTTACTTACTGAATAGTAAAGATGAAGCAATAGACGCATTCAGGCAAAATAAAAATGAAGTTGAAACACAACTTAACAAGAAAGTCAAAATGATAAGAAGTGATAGGGGTGGTGAATATGAATCTCCTTTTGAAGAGATATGTCTAGAATATAGAATTATTCATCAAACAACAGCCCCTTACACGCCCCAATCCAATGGGATTGCGGAAAGAAAGAATTGTTCTTTAAAGGAGATGATGAACGCATTATTGATAAGTTCTGGTTTGCCACCAAACTTGTGAGGGGAAGCCGTTCTTACGGCAAACCGGATACTAAATCAAGTACCCCATAGCAAAACACAATCCATTCCATATGAAAAATGGAAAGGAAGGAAACCCAACTTGAATTATTTGAAAGTGTGGGGGTATTTGGCAAAAGTGCAAGTTCCTAAACCCAAAAGGGTAAAAATGGGACCGAAAACAGTTGATTGTGTTTTCATAGGATATGCGACTAATAGTAAAGCATATCAATTTCTTGTTCATAAATCGGAAAATCCCGACTTCATAATAATACAGTTATAGAATTAGATAATGTTGAGTTCTTTCAAAACATATATCCGTATAAAAAGGAATGTGAATCGATTGGTGAAGGATCTAAATGACCTCGGGAAGAAACAAAAGAAGGTACATTTAACCAGGAGGATCCAAGACATAGTAAACGTCAAAGAACGTCTACTTCGTTTGGACCAAATTTTGTTACTTTCTTATTGGAAAATGAGCCTCGAACATTTAAAGAAGCTATGTCTTCTTCGGAATCATTGTTCTGGAAAGAGGCAGCCAATAGTGAAATAGAATCCATGTCACACCTCCTTTTTCACCTACACCCCACAGAGGGGCGGAAAGGGAGTTTTTTCAATCAAAGGACAATCGAAACGGGATTTATTATTTAATTCAGAGTCTCCACTTGGGAGATTTATGGTGTCCCAAGTCACCGATTTAATCCCGAATTGAGGAAAAGATTGACTCTGTATTACAGTCCGCGAACCAAAAATCCGAGTAAGGAATTCTGTTAACCCGGGAGAAGGTGTTAGGCATTCCTGAGCTCCGTGGTTCTAGCACGGTCGCTCAATTGTCGTATTTGGTTTATTTATCTGGTTTTAATACATGTTGAACCTATGTGCAAATTTTAACTGTGTACCGCTTTTATTATTATTATTATTATTATTATATTTCTTTTACCGAGAATTGCAACATTGTGAAAATATATCTCGAACCACATCACATCAATGCACCCGTGGTTATTGACACATTTCAACTCTGTTGAGATTTGGATTTGGGTCACATAAATGTACACCCGAGTTTAAGAAGATAACCTTTAATAAATATGCGCCTACAACAACTAGCGTATCATTATTTTGGGTAGGGCTGTGAAATTTTGCTAAACGACCCATCCCGAAGTCTAGTAATTTTACCAACACATATAGAGGGCCCCTCAGCTTGTGTATTTCTGTTTGTCGAGGCTCGTTTCATATTTTTTAAAAGGAATTTGCAACGTCGTGGAAATGCATCTCGAACCACGTCATAATCGATGTACCCGTGATTAGCGACACATTTCGACTTCGTTGAGATTTGGATCTGGGTCACATAAGTGTGCACCCGAGTTTAGGGAGGTAATGTTATTAAAATACGCGCCTAAAGAGACTAACACGTTGTTATTTTGGGGAAGGCCGTAAAATTCGCTAAATAGCCCGTCCCGAATTCTAAAGATTTTATTTTAACCATTCATTGAGGGCCCCGCAACTTGCATTTTTACTCGGCGAGGCTCGTCTCATCATTTTTATTTAAAGGCCCAATCCTAAAGCAATCCATAATTTTCTATTTTATTTGCCTCTAAAACAAAGAAGAAGATCCTAATTAGTTTTGCATTATTTAAGAATTGGAAGACCTGTGTCTATTGAACTCATACGAAATCAACTTTTATTCATTATAGGTTCTGAATGCGGTCCGTACAAATAGACCCTTATCTAAGTGTGTACAAAGAGCAAACCAACTATAGATCTAGGCCCAGGTCCAAATGAACATGCAGTCAGAGTTAGACCTGGGCCGTTTGTGATAGTACCGAAGCCCAAAATGTCCAAAGTGGACCACTGATCTCAGCTTCAATTCTAGTTTAACGCAGAATCACTGGAATAACTTCAAGTTATTTAACGTGCACTCAACCAATTATGAGAAGGGAGAATCACGTTTATCTACTCAAACTAAGGAACAATTGATCATTTGACTCTCATATTAAAATCCAGCTTACTCCACCTGTTTAACTAATGGTGATTCCTAATGAGGGATCGTGTTTTGGACTAAACAGCTCAATTACTTGATTTTACTAACATCCACGAGCAGATTCAATGTAGTCTTATTAATAAGGCATGTTCAATTCGATTAACTACTGCTATGAACTATTAATCCAGAATTACCAACACTTATACTATAACAATGAATTCCGGGCCATCAAACTTGAAGTGGCCGTCGTACTGATTTCAAAATCAAGTATATCCTAGGAAAACAATTTAGTGGAATATATATGAAAGCAAACTGAGATTCCATTAATCAACACAAGTTAAATCAGATTGTTAGCTATAGAACTCTTATGCTTACAGGAATACGCATCTAATTAGTTTAACTAAATCAGATTGATGTTCTAAATTCTAAAATCTATTATAACAGTCCAACACAGTCCATAAGTTAAAACAAACAGTCCATCACAATCCATTGGAGTTCAGAATACTTATCCATATATGTAACAAAAGTTTTTCACTATAATTCCGCAGTAGGAGACTTGCTTCATTTCTATTTCTCATCCGATACGAGATGCTACATCAAAGTGGTTCAGGGTAGTGTACCTGGTATTGGCATACAAGAAGAAGAATAGAGGAAGGTCAGCAGCAGCAGTA